TTTCCCATCAAAGGCCACCCGAAACAATTTTTTGGTTGTTTCTGTCGGAGTTTGCGGGCTTGGACTGAAACACGTGCTTCCTCGCTTACAACCAAAACTGCTGACAGGTTGCTAAAGAAAGTATGCTCACTGACTCGAGCAGCCATTCTAGACCACTGCCCACCTCCCAAATAGGCTCATTCGGGGAATATTAGGCCGCCGGCGGATCGTGGAATTATTGGTGACCAAGCTTGACCCAGCCCCCAACCTTCTGACAGGGGGCCTTGGCAGCGGTGTATTTGCGACTTGATGCTTCATGGATTAGGCGCGCCTTTCATGCGTTGATGGAAAGAACCAATGAAAACTCCCCGAAGGCCGGCATCGGTATTTCTATTGGTCGTGGCTTTTGAAGCTCCCCACAACACCATTTCGGCCGGTTCACGGAGTCCGGGGGACGGGACTGTCCGCAGCGCCGCCAACTAATCGTAAAATCAGAGGCCGACCTCTCGGAGACAGGCCGACTGCCAAGATCACTTCAGCCTCAAGGTTTTCCCAGGCTGCAGGAACAGGCTTAGTCGAGTGCCATCATGAAACTCGGCGTCTCCTATGGCCTCTTGGACTGGGTGTCCAATTTCTTGGAACAGGATTGATGTTTCTTTTGAATGCCGAGTGCTCTGTTCTGCAATGTGAGCAATTCGTTGCTTTGAGCATTGAGTTCTCCCTCTCGCCGTTAGAGTCTGTAAAGTTGGGGTTGGTGCTAATTCAAAGATCTCTAGAGGGGCGTAGTAGGCTTGTGCTTAAGGCATAACAATGTGATCACTGCAGCATTAATACGGTGCCCCAAAATACAGCAAGGGCCTCGACCACCCCACACATGTCTCAGAGGTGGGAAGATGAGAGCTTGGCACCTACACTTGGTCTTGAAGCCTCTCACTTGAACGAGTGGCGACGAAGCCTCAAGCAGAGCCCCTCCATGCTTGACGATGACGTATCACGGTAATAGCTTCTATTCTGGTGTACTAGAACGACCAGGTCACCGTGACTACGACATAAGTGCCCTACCTAGGCAAGGTGCACAAATTCCCATTTCACGAAGACGATAATCAGCGACGAGAGCCTAGATTTAGATCGATAATGCTACACTCTAGCTAATCCACCTCAAAATCGCAATTCCTGGAGCACGTTGACTAAAAGCTCCGGTACTCGTGTGTGAATGGATTACTAAACTAAATCCCCTGTTGGTGAAGCATCGCCGGGGCCAGAAACATGGGAGAATGCGACTAACCGATGTTGAGCAGGATAGAAGATCTTATGACTGCACATTTTGTTAGAAACATTAGAGTCAACTAGCTGGCCGATATATTCATTTGCCCTAATGTGTACATATGTCTGATGCTCATCCATAAACGGGGCACCCCTTTTTGAGGGCCATTCTATGTCTAACGTTCGGTCACTTCTATAATGCCAATATAAGCCAGAGGACCTGGACAACAATATTCGCATACCATAAGACCAAATCTTGAGTTCTTTCTTACGAGTAGAGTATCAGGTCAACTCCACTGAGCATTCTTGTTAGACTTGAAAACTCATTGAATATTGAAGAAGCAGGACGAAAAAAGCTATTTTAAACTTTTGACGGGAAGATTTCAGACCTTGCACCTATCCTCAAGGCTGGTTTGGCAGGGACCTATTTGTATCTCTGTGAGCTCAATGGAGTATACTATAGGGGCGCTGCTCTAATTACTCAATTCGAAACTCGTGCAGAGAAACATGGCAGGGGGCCAACTTTTAGTCACATGTCCGTACTAGCATCCATTCACGTATATAATGTCGCGGCGTGACATTAAGAGCCATGAGCCAAAAAACATTCTTCTTGGAGACTAAGTAGTCACTCAAACTGTAAGTTATTCAGGTGTCAAGGCTCAGTGGGTGATAGCACTAAAGATGGATGATAGAGGTTCATTGGTTTGACCAGACCAAGAAAGGTGTTCGCAGCAGTGGTATGTCAAATTACTAATTACGCTGTTCTATGAACAAAATCTCCTTTACAGAGAGGGGAGAATTCTCTTCTCAGTGAACTGCCAAAGCAGGGGAGAGTAGTCAGAGCACCAAGCGTTGCCGGTGTAGTATGTGCTTCTCTTTCCCTGAAGAGCGTACAAGTCGCGGTAGAAACCGGCCTTGACAGCCTCCGTAGAAACGTGAAGCTGGAGGTTGGAGTGCTCCTCCCAAGCGGCAAACTCGCCGCCAGTCGCAGAGGTGCTGTTGGAAGAGGCTCCGACCTTACGAACGGCATCGGTGACCAAGCCCTGGGCCTTGGTAGAGTCAGCCTCACCGATGACCTTGACGGTCTGGTAGCCAGGAACGCCGACGGTCTCCAGGCGCCAGACGAAGGGCTTGGAGGGGAGGGCATCAGGGGCCGTAATATCGACGTTAAGGAAGTTGGTCAGGTCAGGAAGACCAGAGTCAGAGACGACACCAACGTAGTAGGGGACGTTCTCCCACTGGTTGAAGACGGAAGTCTCAGAGTCGTCGAGGTCGAAGGGCGCGAGGTTCTGGATGGTAGGAGGGATGGTGATCAGGAGCTTCTTGGCCTTGATGAGCTTGCGGCCCGTGGAGGTGGCAACGACGGCCTTGACGCCATCATCAGAGCGCTTGGAGGCAACGACAGTGCTGGAGTACAGGACGTCGTTTCCGAGGAAAGCGCCGGCCTTGTCGTACACCTGCTGGTTGCCACCAGGAGCGTACAGGTAGCCGCTGGAGAGACCGAGAAGATGGGGTTGGCCAAAGTTCTGCAAGACATACAGAGTCGGGGTCTCGAGAAGGTTGCCAACACCGTGAGCGAAGATCCAGACGACTTGGACAACCTCGGTCAGGTTGTACTTCTGGACGAATTGACCAAAGGGCAGAAGAAGATCCTCAGGAACGTTCTCGGGGATATCGTAGGCGCCTTCAGCCAAGAAGTCAAAGTTGAGAGTGGCGAAAAGGTAGTTCGCCAGGGGCCCGACGAGGGTATTGGGGTCGACGGCCGTGGCGTTGGGGACGACGAAACCGGTCTTGAAGTCGACAATCTTGCTCGGGAAAGGAGACAGAGCGGAGGCGTTCAGCTGGACGTTGAAGCGCTCGAAGAACTGTGTTGTCTGGTCATTCTGAATGAATGCCTGCACGCCGTAATCGATAGGTGCGCCGGTCGCGGGGTCGCGGAAGGTGTTAACGTGGCCTCCGAGTTTGTCGGCGCGCTCTACGACAGCGACGGTCTTGTTCTGGTCCCGAAGACGGACGGCGGCGTAGGTTCCGGTAGCTCCACCTCCGACAACGAGAACGTCGCGTTGGATGATGTCCTCGGGTTTGAAGGCGGACTCGTCATAACAGCCGAGGCCGGAGGGAGCAGCACTAATCAATGTGGCGCTGAAAGCGCACAGCGACAAAAGGTGAGAACGCATTGCAAAGAGGAGTTGTGGAAAAAGAATGACTGGGTAATCAAAGGAGTGACTGGAGATGTGCTTCTTTCCAAGACCGCATTATTAAGGCGTGGTGACTATAGAAGCTATATATCCGTACATGCCGTATTCCAAGGCAAAAGGTGCCGACTGAGCCCGGCGGTCCGGTAAAGTTGGGAGCCAAGGCCAATCACCAAGGAGAGTTTGACTCAAAGAGGTAATGAAGTCAAATTGATTAAAGGGCACGAACTCTGAATAACCGGCTCCACATCAACAGACGAACATCTTCTGAGTCCAAGGTCGGGCCCGGACTCTGCGGGTATTTGGTTACTACGGAGTACAATCCTGCCTCTACTGATTTGATCGTCTTTCTCATACCGTTTGCCCTGGTCGAGATACAGACTACATTATGGTCCCGTTGCAGCATGTTGGCCATGATTGTGTGCTTCGAAAGGCACTGCATCCCGGACCGTCCGGTGGATCACAACCTTATTGAGCAAGGATTAGGTCAAGGCTCTCTCTTAGAGTTCAACGCTTTGATTTACCAGGGCTGAGTGACAGCTAGAGAAAGAAATGCCAATTTACTAGTTTGCGACCAAGGTGGGCTGAGTAAAATGAGCCTGAACTCATTACAAAAACCTTTGCATGCGCCCGCTATTTCCGCCGGCCTCGCGAGCGCAATTCTCCGTCCGAGACAAGCTTTCACATCGTCACGTCAACTCATTATTGTGAATAGTCACGAGAAGTCATTTTCGAACTTTTGATCAAAGGCGCTCGCTCTCGCATTGAATGCGCGATATTTTTCGTTGAGCAGCTGGATTTTGAACCTCTGTACGCTGCCTTCGAAGCTGTGCCTTCACCGCTGGTTCAAACTCTTTCGCAAGGCGATGAATTGTATTTGACACTGGTGATCCACTATCAAGTCGGATTTCGTCACGCTTGGCCGTGAGCCATGAAGCAAAAGGCACCGACGCTGAAAAGAGATCCTACGCAATTTGCACCATCCATGGCAACAGCGCCAGCAATGAATAAGGTTCCAATGAACAGCCGACACTGACTCGGTGGGATTACCCGGTGGCCAAGGCCACCGTGATTTTCAGACCCCAACTCCACTCTTGAAGGATGATTTGACTCACAACCGTTGCGTTCACGCCCCGCCTCCCGCCTCGGGTTTTGACGACGCAATGGGGTAAGAGACTTGAGTACAACTTGAACGAAATACATCGTTCAGAAGGATGAAACCCAAGGTCGCTTTTCAGGAGAGATTGTCTCGCCAAGAACTTGACAAGATAATCAGAAATCCTAGTTCAGTCAAGAAGTAATGGTGGACGGGTCACGGATAGCTTGGAAGTGATTCGTGCTGGAGGTGATCAACTCGTACTAGAAAAAGTTTTTTGTAGCGTCCGTTTGTACAGAGACGACCTCAGCTTGGTCTAGCTCTAGCGCTGTTGACCAACAACTGTTCAGAACGCTACTACAATCATCTCCAGTCCGCCTCTTCACGACTTGAGCATTAGTCACTCATCTCGCGATTTCAAACATGTTCCCGTCATGTCAGTTCAAAGAGGAGTGACCAGCAGTCGCTTATACAGCCTCTTCATTCGCAATAGGAACGAATCGCAAGAGACAACGTTGTCCGTATGGCCGGGCAGAAATGATCTGGTCGTGAGATCGCATACTCTCGGGAGTGATGGAAGGATCTGGTACAGTGGAATATCGTCCGTATATGCCACGGAGTAAGATTTTCATCTCTGCCAATGCAAGACTGTTTCGGGATTAGCATAAGCTCGCGCCCATAGTCCGTGGGAAGGTAGTGTAAGCCCTTACTGTTTTCCGACACAACCTCTTCCACCATGAGCAAAGGCAAACATGTGTCTCTTCCTCTCGGCTTCTCCGGTGGGAGATAGCCAGCGTTCAGGGCTGAAGGTGTCAGGGTTGGGGAAGACTGCATCGTTGTTGCGGTGAACCGAGTATGCCTGGCTGCTCACGATGGTACCCTCAGAAACAAAGTAGCCATCGACGGTCTTTCCTCCCGGTGGGACCACGCGAGGTAGGGACATTGGAATCGCAGGATAGCATCGGAGGCCTTCTTGAACCACGGCGTCAAGGTAAGAAAGCTTGTCAAAAGAGGCGTCTGGATTCTCTCGAATTTCCTCCCGGAGTTTCCGTTGAATCTCAAGAGATGCCGGCTGTGACAGTTCCCACAACAAGAAACACAGCGAATCACCCGTTGTATCGATGCCAGCTACCATGTGATCCGTACATTCCGCGGCGATGTCAATGGCGTCCATCTGGTTGACGCTGCTGCCGCTTTCCCTCTTGTCTTGAAGGCGGCTTAACAGAGTGAACGGCGCGGGATCAATTTTGGAGGTAGCATTAACAACGAAGTCCTTAGCAAGGGGCGTGGTTCGTGGATCGAAGAACAGGTCAAGAATCTTAGAGAAGTACTGGTAAAAGACGGGGTAGTGATGCTGGATAAGGCGGTCTGATTGGTAAGTTGAGGGTTAGCAAGCACCCACTGCATATCAACTCGGGAAACCTCACTTCGTAGACTATCGTCCGTCGTGACTTGCTCCATCATGTCCGTGTCTTCCTGTTTCTGAAGACTATTGGTTCCGTAGGGGTGGAACAAGTGATGGGTCACGCAGTCACAAGCGTAAGAGTGAAGCTTGACCTGGTGATCAGGGACAACAGTGTCAGTGTTACTGATACAGGACTCGCCGCCATTTCTTCGTGCTTGAAGATTTGAACTTACATAGACATTCACACTTCTACTTGCTGCATCAGCACACTGCCTGACAAACTCTTCCGCACGCTTCTCAATACCGCTCAGCGCTATGGGCTTCACCACATTGCTATTGGCATAGCGGTCGGCAATGATACGCTTGCGCTTCGCGTGCTGAGTAAAAGTTAGATTTTTTGTCTCAGACAAGTCATAAAGCTAGGTAACTTACATCGCCCTTCACAAGGGTTGAAAACATGGTTCTAAATCACGAGCGCAAAACTCACGGTCAGCGCCGTCTCAAGATTTTCCATGTAATATCGGCACTTACCTGCGCCCGAAAACCTTGAAGAGGTTGTAGAAACGATGCTTGTCATAACCACTTCCGAGTGATCCGTAAATCTCCTTGACAGCCTCATAAGACGTATATGAAACTTCATTGGGCGCGATTCGCACGACCGGGCCATACTTCAAGTGCAAAGAGTGGATGTATAGCGTTCGATTTGCGCCGAATTCGTGCCATCTCAGGGCGATTGAGGTGATTTTGGACAGTGCTGGCCCGGGGATTCTCCACAAGGGGGATGAATAGCAGCGTGCTAGGTAGAACACCAAAAGGGCTCCAAGAATAGCCGCCACAGAGAGCGGGTTCAATAACATGATGCAAGTTGTCGTTGCTGGTAGCACTGCCTTGCTGTGAAATGTCAAGTATCAATCACGCCAATTTGTAAGGGTTGGGAATGATGCTGAACATAAATACCCCGTAATAATAATACAGCTTTGCCGCGAGGTCGGCTGGGGAAGAACGGTAAAATCGGGGCAGATAAGGACAGATCAAGACGAATCAAATCCCCTCCAAATCAAACGAGACCTTTGTTGTTGAGTCATTGGCGGTTTACCCCGCCTATTTAGTTCGATTCCGTTCCCCTAATGTTAAGAATTGGCGAATTCCGGATGGGCGGTCTTGTTTTGTGGATATGAAAACAACGCCTGCTCCGGGCTCGGCCCCGCATTCTGATCGCTAATGTTAAGAAGACCCGAAGATACGGATCAGCCGAGACCCCCGGCCATAAAACCAACCACCGAGTCAACCCATATTTTCCCTAATGTTAGGCGCAGCCGTAATTCCGTGATTCACGTTCCATCACTCATGAACTTTGCACCTCCGATCAGCCTGTCCGTGGTGACAACCAGCGGAGTACTTTCTTCCCACACTAGTCCGCTTCAAGGCAAAGCGAAGCACGCCGTACAGCAATCCTTCAACTGTGGCCTTTTCAAGGCGATCCTTATCGTAGTGCTACCTGCACCTAGTGTAAATCCGAGATCTCAGACTTGAGGTCTCGGGTAAGCTGCTTTAGTCTCCGTCTCTCGGTTGATGCCAAAGTGTTTCCAGTACCGGTAGTCCTTGATGGACACGACCGATGTCTGGAAGGCAAGGACACTGGTGCGAATATGTCAGCGTTTTGATATTAAACAGAGCCGGATCTGCCTTTGGGCAGAGGCAAAGAAACCTACATCAACACCATGACGATGAGAGTCACAATCCAGCTGAGAGCACAGCTTCCACCAGTGCAGAACCTTCCATTCGCCTGGCACAACAGACCAAAGGCGACGAACCAGAACAAAATCTCCATTGTATTGAGGATAGCGTTGGCTTTGAGCGAAGCCCACTTCTTGAAGCGCTCCTTATGAGTCGTCAGAAGTTGGTAGCCGATAATGATAAGAGACTTGAAACCCTGTAATCGTCTGGTATTAGTCTCATTCTCGACAACAATGATTGCGAAAAGGAACGTTGCAAAGTTTCCCCCGCCACGAAGAACTCACCATTGTAAGGGCCATGATGTTGCCGCGAGTGAAGGGGACCGGCATGGCCATGCGCCAGATGGTGAGGATGATGGCCAGTGCCATTAGGGCGACTTGCGCGATGTGGATTTTGGTCTTGTATCTGGTATCGAAAAATCGACCGTCAAAGAAGTCGCGGATGCCCATGGTGACGATAATCGTTTTCCTTATGTTTACTGTAAGATCTTCGTGCTGAGTCGGCGGTTTTGACGGGCGGTGGATCGGATTTCGGTCTGATTGTAGATGATCGATGAGTGCGGTTCTAGGTCTGATGAGGTGGTGAAGTTGGAAATTTGTAGAAGATTTGAAACTGAACAATTCATCTTGTATATTCTTCGACTTTTGTTTACATGTATTCGTTATGGCTCGGCAACTGGTTTTTGACATATACGCGGAGTTTAGTGAGGACGTATACGCGTATAAGGTTCGAACGCCAGTTGCATCGCCACAATAACTCGAGACAATGGCTGAGGAACTCCACACCCCAGATGCTACATCGAGTATTACAGGTGAGATTAAAGCCGACTAGCTAAAGCGCGATTACCCGTAACGCCCATAATTAAAGTTGCCGCGTGGCATGCATGACCCGATTGCTTGGCTCGAGGCTTTAAGAAGGCGCATAGGTAGATTCCAGATTGCTGACCAAGGGTTTAAGGGGTCTCTCGACGCTACGTATGCTGCGGCGTAGAGACCGCAAGGCATCATTTGTACGCGTTTATCTTAGATCTTGACTCGGGGCCGTGCTTGGGCTGGCGCGCTCTTGACTGTTTGCCAGTCATTCGCTCGTATAGATGGATTTCGAAACCGCCGCACACGTTGCCTTTATAGCGGTTGATGGTTGGCGCGACGAAACTGGCAAAGGCGCTCTCTGTGTTGCTGCTTGAATTGATGATCGCTTGTGTGGTAAAAGCTGTCTTTGGGGAAGATCCTTGAATAGACTGATTCGCCGAGGAATTCGCACTCAACTTACTAGGTAGACTTTGCTCGCGGCTTGTCCCCCGAGTTTCCGACTGGATCTCTCAATCTAGGAACATTCTTCTTGGTTCGTAGGTGGTATTGGCGCTACAAAAAGCTCTTCTATCAATTTATTTCTACTTCGGTGCAAGCAATAGGCTTCGCCTCTTTCTTCCTTTCGTGCACATCGGCAGTTTGATACCAGGATATTGAGCTTTGCACCGGCGCAACGGCGGCCCTACTTGTGTATAAATCTGCACTTGGAGAGTGACGAAACCTTTGCTTCGAATGATGCATCTTACTGGTAAAAGGGCACAATTCCGGCCATTGACGACGGGCTGCCAACTTCAGAAGCTGAGTAGGTTTGATCTTAAAGTTGCATGACCAATTTGAGAATCACCACGCAAATTATGACCAACATACACGAATTTAGTCGTCATGGAAGTTCTTGTCAAAGTCTCCTGGGCGGCTTGACGGAGTTCGGCTTTACTTTTCTCTCAGAGAACATGAGTAATGCAACCGTCTGGTGCGGGCAATAGAGTAAAGCGTAGTCCAGTGTCTGGGTAGTCAGCGAGTTGGTGAAGCTCGTTGTCAATGTCTGATGCATGTGCATCTTGATATTCAAATGCTGGGCCGTAGCTGCGCTTACGCATTGCAGTTGACACTGATAGTGACGGATAAATAGTGTCACTGCGTCCTTCACAATGGAAACGACGTTGCTGGGTCAAAAGAATAAGAGTCGTTAAGTTAAAGCTCCAAATACTTTCCTCCAAGAACAAAGCAGAAATCAGGATCTCAACAGCCTCTCCACCAGATCAAGTCTACGCAGAGAATCATGGACGCATCGCGATTTTATTGTACGTTGCGGGGCGTTAAGCCGGCCTCCGTGGAAAGCCGGCGCCGGCGCCGGCGCTGGCGTGCCATTTTGCCGTCGCTCAGAGCATGAAAATGTACCGGAAGACCCGGAATGATATCACTGTACGAAGCGTTCGGTCTGCTATCGTAAAAGCTTAAATCTCATGACTCTTTCCCGAGAGCTTCACAGAGGGCAAGGCTCGCCGCGAAATGGGCCGGTAATTACCATCACCCATATATAAACAGCAGACTTTTGACAACACAGGTGAACCTTGTCAAGCCGGCATCCCTGTAGTACACGTCCGCCACGCCCGCCCGAACGCGTTATTAAAAAAGTCGAGCATGCTAATCGCAAGATATAATTGCGCACTTCAATCGGCCCATGGCCGACTTCGCACTTGTTATCATCATGGCGAACCCTGAGCGGTGGAGAGTGTTGAAGCAAACACCTTGCCTGTAAAACAGTCAGACTCGACAAACACTCCAGAAAATGGCTTCGCTGCCTCTCGAGCTCGTGGAGCAAATCTGCTCATTACTCTGCTTCCACTGTCAACACCCAGGGACTTTTTCTGACGCCGAAAGCGACGACTATCGACTCAGCAAAAGGGCACTATCACGACTTTGTCGCGTTTCCAGAGGATTTTGCGCTGTTGCCCAGCCGTTCCTTTTCCACGACTACGCCACGGGCGGGCTACTTCAAAGGCATGGTTGCGGTATCGGAGCACAACCTAGCAAGCCCTCACAAGACGACGAATACGAAGACAAGCTGCCCGTCTTCCTGCGCAGCATCATACAGCGTCCGGATCTAGCATCTCACATCAGAATGCTACAGCTGGTAGAGAACGACGTGATCAGAGGGTGCACGCCAGAACTAGCTCCACTCCTCATCAAAGCGACCGAAGATGCTGGCGCGCTACGGCACGCTCCGAGCAGGGGCTATCTCCAAACGAAAACATGGAGTGGGTTCTCCGGTCAGCCAGAAGCTTTGTTGCGAATCCAGCGACGGAAGATTCACCACTGGCTCGGGGAGTTGGCAATTCTGCTATCGCCGAACCTCGCTATGCTTCTCATAGCCCGTGATAGCTTTGTGGACTATGAGCATATCAGAGATAGTCGGGCTTCCTTCCCTGCACTCCGATCAATTGCTCTCAGGGGCGTCAGGAAGAATCATCACATTTATGAGGCCTCTGCGCTCTTCGCCGCGGCGCCAAATCTTGAAAACTTGCATTCAATGCATTGCAGTCTCTTCGACGGTCAAAGTCCTTGGACTCTCGTGAAGCCTTGGACGCTGAAGTTGGGCAATCTTCGGAGATTGTCGCTGAGCGAGATAGGCTTTGAAGATCTCAATCTATTGGTGAAGTGCTGCCCGAGTTTGGAGGAGCTGGCAGTCACAGCCAAAGAAATCTACCGCAACTCGGGATTCGACTATTGGGATATGTCAAAATTGCTTCAGGCATTTGACCCGGTTCGCCATACTCTACGGAAACTGCGTCTTTCTCACGATTGTAGTCGGTCGTCTAGGGCAGACTCCCGGCAAGTTGCGTCTGGCGGGATAGCTTGGTCTTTCCGCTCCTTTGAGCATCTAGAGGAGCTTGTATTTGATCAAGCGGCAATCGACAATACCCCAAGAGCAGTTCTCTTGGAATATGGAGTGGATCTATACACCGAATGGAGGTTGGCCGAAGTCTTGCCAGCGTCCATTCGTCGGGTTGAGATCTTGCATGCAGACCAAAACTGCAAGGAAAAGCTCAGGCGGCTTGCCGAAGAATCTTTGTTCACGTTACCCAATCTGAAGGTTGTTCAGGTCAACTATGACGACTTCAGAGAGAAAAGCGACCTTGATGTGCATTGCGTAGACACTATGAATGCCCGATTCCAATCGCTGGGCATCGAAATGATATGGAGTACAGGGTGTATCAAGAGGGAAGTAACGGCTTGAACTTAGTTGCTATCGGTCTACCTCGAACCAGAGTCGATTCATGGATAAGGACCATAGTTGCATGAGAAAATTCCTGTAGAGTGTTATTATAATAGATAGACTAATAGATAGAAACGGGAGCATGGCATAGCATTATCAGTCTGCACATAGATTTGACGAAGAAGCCATAGGCCCCTCACGCCGGGCATATAGAAACAAACACAGAAGACAAAGCTGTTCATTACAATTCTGCCAGAACGCACGCGATAGACGAGGTGTGTTCCGACGGGTTTCGACGAAAATATGCCGACTATCGAGGATAAGACAGGCGAATGACCACGATACGCCCGTCTCCTAGTCAGCATGGATGGCAAGCGAGGTCGGTAATACCCTAAACGATATTCAAGCTCCGAAGCGGTTGAACAGTCCTGGGACCGTGGCCCAGAACCTCGATCTCGGTATGTAGCTGGCACAAACATTAGCGGGCCGGATACGCAAATCAAAAACATTGACTGAGATGAAGCAAACGCTTCAAGCGACGAGAGATAACACCGATGTCCGCGTATGCGCTGCAAGTGATGCTTGTCAAACCTCGCCGTGCAAACTGCATCCAGCGGATACAACCGACGACCGAGTGTTCCACACGCACATTCAAGTGCGACCACCATTGCCTCATCGGATTATTTGTTTGCTCGTCAGTCAAGGACAACGGCGGGCATGCCGGCAGCCGAGGTTGATGTCGCTGTCGATGCTGATGTCCCTCAGTGGATTCTCGTCAAATGCCCGCAAAGAGCCGAGTTCTGGAACAGTCTCGTCGCCGAATACATTGCTCGATCATGTCTCAGATCAGCCGCAATAACTGGACGAAGGATCAATACGGCGGTGGTTTTGACAGGTGCGCCTGCGAAGTAGCGCAGCGACAGCAGCCACTTGTTTCGAAACGCCTCTGGCTGAACCCTCGCATGGTGTCAACGGCTTTGTGAACAGGGGGACGGGTTGAGCTAGAGCTGAATAGGGGCGATAGAGCGAGAGGCCAGCTTCGAAGGTAGAGATGTAGACGACCTCGAATTTGTTGAAAACTTTGTGGCGGCGCCAATGGTGTCTTTGACTCCCGAGACATTCCTAGTTCTGGTACTGGGGTAGTGCCGGCCGTCGACGATAGCGTCTTGGAGTAAAGGCAACGTTGATTTGATGGTGTAGGTACCCCGGAGGCCGAGTCGGTCCACGACAGAGGGCTTGTCGACGTTGATGGCGTGGAGTTGGTGCAATGAGACGGCGTAGAGACTCGTGGCGGAGCGTAAGGACCGGGAAATCGGTTACATGTTGAAATTACGACGCAAACATTCGAGGTATGTGCCTCGATCGAGGTGTCGTGTCTCGCGGACTTGTGGGGGAGACGGCATAGAGTGAATGTCGAGTACCATGCCCCACGCGGGAAGATAAGGACAGAACGGGGCAAGATTGTCTGAATATGAGCACTGAGCGGACTAAATGCATGAACATGTCAGCAATCGCGTTTGTGTCAAAAGGAAACGTAGCGCCGATCCCATCTCAGTAGCAGAAGCGCGTGTTGTGGTGTCATGGTGTTGTGAACGTAACCTCCCATCGATCTCGAGCCACGTGCGTCACCGTGTTTATGGACATGCTCCCTTGTCTTTTCGTAGAAATAACAGACGTGCTTTGATGAGGGGTTGGAGCGCCAAGTTGACAGTATTGATGCGAGAAGCGCAAGCCTGGCTGCCTTTCCCATTGATAGCTTGATGGCAGGCAGGGCGAGGGGTAGATCCTTGTCAAGGAGACCTAGAATATCGATGGAACAAAGGAGACACCAACGATTATCAGAGAAACTTGAAGAGGAGATGGCGACAGTTGTCGCACAACGGGGTGGCACATTGAGGAACAATCGAACCCAAGTCGGAGACCCAAACGACCCAAGTCAGGTTGACAGAGCGGCAGGAATGCATTTTGGTCCCGCGAAGGCAGCGAGGGTTCCCCCGGTCGCAACCGAAACTCTGGAAACTGTTCCAATAGTTGGACAATCTGGGGTGTTGAGTCTGTGGTGCGACTAAATCTGACAAGTGACAAGAGATGGGCGAGCGTAACTGTGGTCCTTGATTACTTGGAGGACTCCCTCCGTGATGCTAAGCCTCACCGCCGAACGAGAACTGGGGGGGCTCCGTCTGGCCGCTTGGATCTAACGGCTTCGCTAGAACCTGTTCGTGTTGGTCTCGTGCGGCGCAGTTTCTCGCTTCCTGGCGGGCCATTCGAAGATACCGAAGGAAAACACTGAGAAGATTCGAGACAGTCCAATTTTGAGGTCCGAATGGAGAAGTCAAGGAGAAAGTAGAGCTTGTGCAAAGCAATATCGACGGAGTTGTTCAAGGCGCGCGGAGGGAACATCCCTCACCTTACCTTAGTCATCATTCGAGTGATGACTAACACCAAGGATCAGCACGTGACCAGACTGGTTGGAGCGGCGGTACGTACTTATCTCCCGGAAATGGACGCAGAGCAAACGGAGGACGTCGCGCGTTGCCATTCACGTCCATCAAACTGCACGTCAACAGCCTTTGATCAATCTATCGGGCACTTGCATTCAACAGTTCAACGTCAGGCTGGATGCATCAAATGAGCGGCATCTAAGACCCTCGAACTGATTGCAGCATCGTGCAGAAGAAGCAGCCTGCCGCCCTTTCTCACTACTTGAGGCCCTCATTGTGCGACTTGGAGATGCCCTCGCCCATCGCATCACCTCACTGAGCAATTGTCTTGAACCCTGACCCGTCTCGTCTCTCCTGGAAGCCCCTTATCGATTCTATCTCGTCTGGTCTAGTCTTCATCCGCCAGCATCCAATGGCTCGGAGCTTACGAGGGACCCGCCAATGACGCTCTCTACCCGTCTCTGGTCTTGGAGCCTCCCGTCTTTTGCCATTCCGTGTGGGTGTCGCGTCCTTCCGCTGCCCTTACTGCCTAGTCTTAAGTGCGACGGGGAGGGATGATGTTCTCCTACCCCAGTCCAAGTACCGTGTGCATGCCCAGTGCCGGCGCTTGCTAAGTTGCCTTGTTGGCTAACGTCCACTTACTGCATCCTGTACTAGTTCGTCATCATCATCCCGACTACGCCACCAGGTATGGCTCCAGCTTACACAGCACACCGTTCGACGCATGGAGGAAGAGCCCCCAAGACAGCTGAGACAACGTCTGGCCCCCTCCCAGGGTACCGTCTCTTGTACAACACCAAGGGACCGATACTTGGCGTCCGCTTCTCGTTCACCAGGCAGAGTCAGAGGCAGCGCGACCTCATCTTCTGTACTCCTGCCCTTACCGGAAGCAAGCCGGTGTAACATGGGAGCCCAGACAAGTGTTTCGGGGACTTGCGCTCTCTACTCTCCCAGCGCGACCATCACCGTCTGCTTCCGACCCCAGCATCCACGTCCTCGGCAAGGCCATGGTCTTGGTCGGAAGTTCCCCCAAAGGACTGACACGTTCAACACACGTAACTTGATCTATATAGAATCCGTGATCTTCTCCCCTACAGTATCCTTGTTTCCCAGTCTCCTCATCAGGATAAACAAACAAGATCAACAGAGTAGCGCTGCCATCTCAGCTGCCTTCCGCATCGTGTCACTGCTCCATCCCGAGTACCCGACTCTACTTCACTGGCACTTGTAGACCTCTCAACCCTCTCTACAGCATTCGACCGTCTCGTCGTCATCGCCAACATGTTCGACGCTCAGAAGGCCGCAGTGCCGTCCTTCATGGCTCCTCCGACATTCCTGCAGTCAAGAGCGTCAACCCTGACACCAAGCGACTCGAGCTCAAACTACGATGAGATGGAAAAGGACATCGCGAGCTCTGCCGCATCGTTTCAAGATATACGAATCGATCCCATCCTACTCCCTCCTGTCCCGTATAGCGAGCTATCGAGAATACCTTCCGCCAAGTCAGAACAAGCCGAGATCGTAAATAACGAAGATGATCTCGAATATCCCAAGGGAATGAAGCTGGCTTTGATTGTCATGGCATTGTGTTTCAGTGTGTTTTTGATGGCTCTCGGTAAGGAACCGTCTCCCCAATTTCCACACTCATTCAATAGGGTAGAGCTACAGCTGACCATAACCACCACCTAGACAACTCCATCATCGCCACCGCCATCCCGCGTATCACGGATGAGTTCAAGAGCTTGAACGACGTCGGCTGGTACGGCAGTGCCTACCTCCTCACAACAGCCTCTCTCCAGCTGCTCTTTGGCAAGTTTTACAGCTTCTTCAGCATTAAGTGGGTGTATTTGATCACCATCGCCATCTTCGAGCTGGGCAGCTTGATCTGCGGTGTCGCACCCAACAGTATCGCTCTGATCATTGGCCGCGCCATCGCGGGAGTAGGTTCAGCCGGCATTTTTGCCGGAGCACTCATCATCCTCGCCTATAGCGTGCCTCTCGAGAAGCGTCCCATCTACACTGGTGCCGTTGGTAGCATGTGGGGTATCTCATCCGTTGCTGGTCCTTTGCTGGGTGGTGTCTTTACAGATAGTCTGACGTGGCGGTGGTGTTTCTACATTAACCTGCCGATTGTAAGTTGATTTCGATTCCACGTCTTTGATGCCACCGTGCTAACGCCGTAGATAGGGAGCCGTCACCATCTTTGTCATTCTCTTCTTCTTCCCTGATCCCGTCCGCTCCATTCCCCAAGAGACATGGCGAACACGCTTCATCCAGATGGACCCTCTCGGAAACATGCTCTTCATGCCGGCCATCATCTGCCTCCTTCTCGCTCTTCACTGGGGTGGCGTCACATACCCCTGGGCCTCTGCCCGCGTCATCGTTCTCTTCCTGATTTTCGGCTTCGGCATGGCGGGCTTCCTCTACTTGCAGTACCTTGGCCAGGAAAACGCCACAGTCCCGCCGCGCATTTTCAAGCAGCGCTCAGTCTGGTCGTCCTCCTTCTTCGCCTTCAACACCGGCGCCGCCTTTCTTTTGTCTGTCTACTTCCTGCCCATCTGGTTCCAGTCCGTTCAGGGTGTCTCCGCCGTCAACTCGGGAGTCAGAAACTTGCCCATGCTGGTCAGCAACATCATCGCTTCACTCGTTGCCGGTGCCGCTGTCACTATCTGGGGCCTGTACACCCCGTGGATGATTCTTGGCTCGATTCTCATGGGAATCGGATACGGCCTCATCTCCACCTTCAACCCCAACACATCCTCCGCGATGTGGATCGGCTACCAGATTCTCGCCGGTGCCGGAGTCGGCGCCGCTATGCAGCAGCCTTTAATGGCTGTGCAGGTGGTCCTCGACATGGCCGACGTGCCCACGGGAACCGCCATCATCATCTTCACACAAACGGTTGGCGGTGCCATCTTTGTCGCCATCGGCCAGACAGTCTTTACCAACAAGCTCGTGGAGAGCCTAGTCGAGTACATCCCGACCATTGACCCCCACTCCGTCATCGCCGCGGGTGTGACAGCTATCCGCAAGACCATCGATCCGTCCCTCCTGCCCGCGGTAGAGCACGCCTACAGCGACGCCCTAGCACAGGCGTTCCTAGTGAGTGCTGTGACGGCCTCGGCGACCATCATCGGCTCCGTGTTTGTGGAGTGGAAGAGTGTCAAGGGCAAGGATGTCCACGTAGGCATGGCGTAGTCGAGGCTCGGAGATGTAGTCGAGCTTCTCGGCGATTTCACTCCTTCAGCTCGGGGACTTTCGCGTCCAGAGCTCATCATTTCCCTATGTTCCTTGGCGTGATTTCAGAATGTAAGCTATGAATTGGGAGGCGTTACGGGTTAGGAGCATTTGCTTGATTTGATCGGAACTGAATGGCGGTATTGGCGGGGAACATCCGTCTACTCGGGATAGCATGCCGCATCTTTTGGAGAATCCTCCGATTGAATGCGGAAGAAGAATAAAAATATATTACATGTCAGTCATCATCTGCGATCCCACGTGGCGAAAGCTGTCCTGTAAGCCGTAAGCACCTTAAATAAGCCAAGCAATTTTTTGATCTTCATGTTGTCAACTACACTACCACTCACATCTCGCCAACTAATTGCCATCCGCAACACGGATAACCATCTTCTTGGCACGGACGGTACCATTCTTCAACCCATCGAGAGCCGTCTTGACGCCCTCGAGGCCCTTAACAACCTCATACGGGTGCGCCTTCATCCACCCCGTCCTCAGCGCCTCGGCAAACACCCGCGCCCAAATCAGGCCAAACAGCCTACCCTGACCCTCCTCCTCGTGCACGAATCCGACGCTCGTGACAACGACCTCGACGGTAGGATCGACGTCGCTAAAGTCGTTACCGGGCAACACCGTCGTGACTCTCGGCTTGAACCCCGTGCCATCCTCGGGCGGGCCGGCGATGGCCTTGCTAAGCATCTGGAACGATCCCTTCTCGCTGACCGTGTCAAAGACCCTGAACGATCGCTGTCCGGTCGCCTTGATCACCTCCCTTAGCTTCTCGGCCAACTTGTCCTGCGAATCGAACTGCGTGTAATCCAAGAACACGTCGCCCTTAGCTTCCTCTAGCAGAGGCGTGACGAACGCGCTGTTCTTGCTTCCGATGGCGATGAGGGGGTGCACGCCCGCCTTCTTGGCAAGCTTGATACCAAACGCCCCAATCGCCGTGCTGGCGCCGTAAATCACCACCGGCGCCTTGGTCTCCCTCTTGCGATCCCAGGGCGAGGGGATCTCAAGCGAGTGAAACAACGCGACAGCAGCGGTATACGCCGCCAGCGGCACCGTCGCGGCCTCCTCGTAGGACACGCTGGCGGGGAGGTGGAAGGTGGTGTAGGCGGGAACAATGGCGTACTCTGCGAAGCTGCCGTTGGCTGTGCGCATGATGTGGAACCCGGCGACGCGATCGCCCTTTGCGAACTCGTAGACCTCGGCGCCGACCTTCTCGACTGTGCCGGCTACGTCATCGCCCGAGTTGGAGGCGGCTTGGAACCAAAAGGGGAGTTTCCAGTCCTTTGGGTTCGTGCCGGAGACGATGACTTTGACGAGGAGCTCGCCTGGGCCCGGTTCGGGGATGGGGGAGTCCTTGATGTCGACCGAGAGGTCGGCGTTGACGATGGCTTCTTTCATGGTGAGTAATGATGTGCTTTGCTTATGATAGAGTGGCGTAAGTTTTGTTCGGATGAGACTTGACGATCCCTAAAGTTTGGAATACTGTCGAGGTAAAGAATCGTTCTGTAATGTATAAGAATTGAAGCTCTAATATCGAAGCCAGTGACGTCAAGACTTCCGGGACCTGAAGCTCTTCTTTGTACTTCTAGATTCCATGCATCCAGTCTCCATCCCGAATACGTTCCCGAAAAGAGGATACCTCCCAATTCCTTACACCACTGTACAAGGCATTAGGTTCCATTTCTCCCTCGGACAAGGGAACACCCGCTACAACCACATGGTCCCCCTCCTAAACATCTTCAATACTCTTCCAATCAAACACGGGGGCCTCGCTTCGGCGCAGGGAAACACAGGTCCGGGCGAGCCGCTTCCAAAGGGCCCCGCCCGGGTCCCCGCCCCGTGTGTGGTGATCGCACCCACAGTCCAACACTTCAGATGAGGAGATGAGGGGCAGAGCATAGGCTTCTGTACGGATTACAAATCCAAAGTCCGGCAATGTTGCACCCACTAGGTGAGTGCGAAAGTCCGCTGCCCGAACTCCGCTACTTTAGTCATCTATCGTTATGAAGTCGGATAGTTGAGACAAATCTCGGTCTCGCTTTCTAGTGAATGCATCGTTAGTTAACAGAATTTTACCTGTATCAGTTGATGCTAGTTTTGGAAATCCGGAACAATCCAACGCCCTAGAGCCCCGGCGCCTTAGTACTAAGTCATTGTTAGTATTGTGCCTTTATCTAACAATAAGAGCAACTCAAAATTGGCGTATTCCTACACTCACCTTGAGTCTGTTTGTAAGCCAATTGGACTTCAACATCGTAGATACCGAAGTTAATACTCTGGCTTAAGCCATATCATATACAACCACATCAATTAGTACGGACTTTTTGTTCGTTCCAACAAGTCTCCTGGCATTATTATTTAACCGCAACATAGAGATACAATCTTGCGGTACGGGGTTATCTGACTCTGACAGGCGTCAGGAAGAATGGCAGTATCAACCAATTCACTAGTTATATGCCCTCAATATTGCTGGAAAGACATGGAAGCTAAGTACATCAGCCGGGAGCCTCTTCAAACTGCTTAGGATCAATCTTTTGCCCACCTACAATCCAGGTCCATCCCCAACTCTGGCATACATGTCATCAATATCGTCCTGATACAACTTGAGAACCGCCACCCTCTGTACATTGCCCTTCCCGGCAATGGGGAACGGCTTTGCCTTTCGACTAAACAAGATCCTCTGCTTGGCCAACTGACCAGCCGCATCCAAGATCTCGTTACCCTTTTGCACGAAGGGCCAGATACTATCCAACATCTCCTCTTCCGACATCCCTTGACCGTCATCGGCAAGATCAATGACAGCACAAATATGCCGCCTCCCCGTTCCGCCGACAACAACATGCTTCACCGCCGGATGCTGCGCAATCTCCCTCTCCAATAACATGGGATTGACATTCCAACCAAACTTGGTCACCACAATATCGTCCCTCCTCGAGTAAAACTTCCAATGGTGCGCCTTGGTGGGATGCTTCACAAACAAGTCGTTGCTCCGAAAGACACCGTCGACGACGTTGCTGTGCCAGAAGACGTGCTGCTGCTTCTCCACCTTGGGGTTTCTCACAAACGTCATCTCGTAAACCTGTTCTTGCGGCTCACCTTCAGACCCGGACCCCTTGACCTCGCAGGCTTCCCAGACGATCCCGCTCTCTTCGTCGTTGAGGCAGAACCAGTCCCAGTCCTCGCGGTCCGTCTCGTGACCTAGGGCGGCGCCGGCCTCGGTGGACCCGATGAGCTGGTCAAGCTTTGTACGGGCTGAGAGCGCGTCGCCGGCGGGTTTGCTGAGCGCGCCACCCGCGTAAAAGATGAACTTTAGTTTCTTTTCGACGGAGGCGAGGCACACGGGCGATTTTGCCACCATTTCTAGGTAAATCGGTACTCCAGCCAAGCAGTCAAAGTCGCCGTGCTCAAACATCAGTTCAAGTGTCGATGGCGGGATGGGACCGAGGGTGTTGGGGCCCAAGACAAGGACTTTTTTCCGGAAGAGGGGGTCGGTAACGGCTGAGAAGAAGCCAAAGGGGTGGAAGATGGGCATGGTCTGGTAGCAGCGCGTCCCCTTTGAGAGAACCTTGTGATAGGACGGTCGGCCATCGAGATCTGGGAGGAAGCGCCAGACGGTATCGACGACGACAAAGGACCTCTGTGTCCAGGTGACAGGCTTAGGCAGTCCCGTCGTGCCCGAGGTGTGTCCCACGGCCGCCGGATCGTCGATGCCTTCCTCGTAGGTCCGCGTGTAAGGGTACGGGTCTACATCGCCATTGTCATCGAGAAGGCTGTCTAGAGATGGTGCGGGAAAGGTCTTCATCGGTCTCGCCGCCAACAGCGGATCGACCATGGCGTCTACGCCCTCGCTCCGCATCACATAGTGACAATCCTTCTTCTCGCAGAGACTCAAGTTGTAAATGAGGCTGTTGAAGTGAGAACACAGCAGGATCTGGTGGCCCGTCTTCATGGCGGCGATGACGTTGATTGCGTATCTGATGTCGGGGAGGCCAAAGTAGAGCAACGTGTTGAATGTTGTGCTCTTTCCGATGTTGGCCTCGATGTGCCACGCCACTCTGTCTACTGCTCTTGATAGCTGACGGATGGTGACATCGCGGAACCCGTCTTTGGCGATGTCCTTACTGATGGCGTATGAAGCCCAAATGCGATCTGGGTCCCGCGCAACCTGCTCGGCCACAACATGTGGAATGAGGCGGTGGGTACTTTCGTCTGCCATTGTCATGAAGCCGGTGTTGCTGCCAACTTGGATGAATTGAGCACACTAAAATATGGGTTGTAAGAAGCATGCCAAGAAGATCTCAAGTGGACATCCAGATGCCAAGGTAACCTATCTGCTTTATACATCATGAACACTATGTGGAGAAGGAAGTTGTCATCACGGATTTCAATCCTCCTAGCCCACATTCCTCTCACGTCAGCTAGGTGGTGCATTAGCCCACTAATCAATCAAAACTTGGGGCATTTGGGAATTTTGGAAGACAAAGGCAATTTCTGGGGTTAGCCTACCAATGCCTACCAATGCAAAGGTCGTAAGCTTAGCTTCGTCTAGCGGCCGGTAACGTCCAGATTGGACGGGGCTCCGAAAGATCGTCATCAAGTCTGACATGATGAAAACGTGGATAGGCCAGGACTGGCCGGAGACTCTGACATAAACGAGCCGCAATAGCCGCTTACTAGAACCGATGTCACCTGTTGCACTAACACCTCAAAACCTCGAAATCGTACTAAATTAATTGTCCAGTCATCGTTGAGTAGTATTTACGACTTTCCTCAACAGTATCTACACAAGCTAGATGTGACTCTGAAAAAAGTCCACATAGTCAAAAAAGCTCCTCTTCACCCACCTTGCCAACCCTGGATCCGACCGATTCACACCCATCATTCCATACTGTGCCTCGAAGCTCCCAAACTCATTATTATCAATCCAGCTCCACGCCAGCGCCCCAATAACATTCACCCCGTCCTCGTGAATAGCCCTCAACGTCTCGGTCAAGAAGTTCTGATAATACATTGTCCTCTCGAAGTCATACCGCTGCGCATCGTGCGACGTCTCCGCGTCCGCCAGCTGCGGGAACCCAAACTCCGTGACCATGATGCCCGACGGCCGGTACGTGTTCCAGACAAAGCCGAATTGCTCTCTCACGTAGGACGGGGCGATGAGGGCGCCGCCTTCGGAGATCGCGCCCATTGCCCAGCCGTTGGCTTGAATTGTGGTGAGCGTCACGCATGAGGGCCAGAGGGGGTCTGAGGAGTTGGCCGCGCAGGCTTCGTAGCCGCCTGGTGGATTTGTTGCGTATTGGGCGCCGTAGGGGTCAAAAGCCCAGTAGTCCATGGTGCCGTTGATGTGGGCGAGTTGCTCGTCGGTCAGGGACTTTGTGAGCGTGGTATTCATCTTGGGCGTGTTGAGGACGACTTCGGGGAACTGGTTCCCCAGGAATAGCGGATTGCTCATGATGCCGAGGATGAAGTCCTGGTAGCGGTAGGAGGCTGCAATATCGTCTGGGTTGCCCGGGTCCAGAGGCACGGCGAGGTTGTTCGCGAACTTCATGGTGATCTTGCCGGTTCCGCCGAGGACGTCTCTGTACCAGCGGTAGACGTCCGCGTGGGCGAGGAGGAACGCCGTTAATCCATCGTAGCTGGGCAGGGTGAATTGCACAGCAATGTTTGGCTCGTTAAAGGTGACCCAGTACGGCACTCTATCCGCATACCGCGCCATGACTTGCTTGGCATAGTAGGCGTAGTGATTTGGGAACTCGTCGAGATTGTCAAAGATGCCAACGGGGTTATCTATGTGCATCAACGTTGCGACCGGAGTGATGCCGTACTCTATACAAGTATTGATCACGTCGTCGTAGTGGTCCAACGCCTGCTGGTTGACCGGCGAACCTGCCCTGCCAAACGGCACGACACGAGTCCAGGAGATGGAGAAGGAGAAGTACGGCACGCCAAGAGCCGCGAGCCTCGCGATGTCCTGCTTGTACAGGAAGTAGTGCATGTCTGCCACATTCGAGTCATTGGTACCGAGCAATCCCTGGCCGTTGACGCCAACAACGTCAAGCACAGCAGGGCCGCGACCCTCGATTTGGAGACCTCCCTCGATCTGCCATGCGCTGGCAGCCACGCCCCATACAAAGTCGGAAGGGAACTTGAGGTCGGTGTTGTCATTTAGGGGTCTGGCGGGCAGTTGAGGGGGGTATACCAGCTCGCTGGGCGGGATGGGTGTCGGGGATGCGGTTGTCGTGAAGGGAGGCTCATGCGTGTAAGTGTAGTTTGCCCAGAGAGCGGCGTAGGCGCTCTGGCCGTACTGGCCATCGGGGGACGCTGTAGCCGACGGGTTGAGGGAATACGTCGTGTAAGTGACATTCTCTGGCAACAATGTCGAAACCTCGGTAAAGTGTGGTGCGTATGGGGTCGCGATGGTCAGAGGAGATGGCAGCGGCGTCGGGTACCGGTTTACCGTCAGCTGTTCATACGTAAAGGTGCTGTAGGACCACGAAGCTACGGCAGTTAGCCGGGCGGTTGTCGATGGAGCACCGGAAGTCTCGAGCGCAGCGGCATACGCCCCAGTCAGGGAGACTGCTGCTAGACCTAGATATGCTTGCAGCATTGTCAAGATCTCTGTTTGACTGACTACTTGCAACGCAATTGAGCTTGCAGGACATCAGCCATCGGGGCGAACGTGATATGGAAATCTGGACATGAAGTCTCTTATATACCAGATCAATTGAGGCACTATTGCCCAAAGCCTGCCAGGAACAACCGTATTCATGCTGTCGACCGGATATCCCGACGTTCCAATGCCAATTTCCTTTACACCCCACACTTTGATCAGTTCCCCAAATCCCCGCACATGCAAACGATGATTAGCTGCATTAGGCCATGTAAACCAACGAATTGCAGGTCACAATGGGTCACTTGCGGAGTGCGAGATCTGGGGTCTGGAGTACCTTTGCAACCCATCCCGGCGAGTACTCCATCCCGGCTTTCGGTTCGGGAGGCGTCTTCCAGCGCCAGGAACCCGAAGGTGTCAGTCTCCCCGTGCGAGTCTGACGTATTGACTTACTATGGAATTGAAATTCGAGCCATGATGGGTAAGGAATGGACAATGATGCCCCTTCTAACAGAACTTCAGAAACAACAATCTACAGATTAGCGACTCATTGAAGAGTTACAAGAAGCGGATGTCCAGCTATGAGAGATTCGGAAAAACTAACACGAGAGAGAAAATCGAGATCTACCCATGGAACGGAGCGGTTCATGGGATGAACAGGTAGATGATGCACTGACCTGTCATAGTCCGAGCCGAGGAGGATGGCCACCATGGATATCCATCCGCGAATCCATACATCACCCGCGTATTCAATCGGCCCTAAAGTGGATCGAAGCTCCCCTACCTCCGGAATATCCAAGAATTTCTCCCCGAACCATCAGCCGAGCTGTGGTAACTTGTGAGCTTCTGAATAAGTTTCAATAACCTTATCATACTGTGTGGCTAAAGAGGCACATGCTCGTAACATGACAACGGATCAAGCTTGAGGCCGACTGTACTTCAAAACAACGATAAGCTTCGATTAACGTATTACAGTTCTATTCACTGCTAGTGGCAAGGAATGCTACTTGTCGGAATCGTTGCCATTTTGGTAAACACTACACGTGCTTCGTGGAAAGTAATCCATGGCCCAAGACTTCACAGCGTAAACAATACATGATCTTCGCCGGTAGAGTCTCATACGTTGGTACATAACCATCCACCCAAAGCCGAAACTCTTTCTGCCGAGCGACTTCTCTTGATTAGTTTAGTCATGCTCAACGTGCGTGTCTCTTGATATCTCGGCACCCAATACTTCCTGACAGTGCAGTAGATGATCAAAGGATGGGGCTGGAATGGCCTTGGTCAGATTGGGCGACAACTTCTACAACACCGAGAGGCGTGAAGTCGCGTTTACACTGACTCGGCTTTATGCCAGGTTGCGGCCGCTCAATCTCAATGTCCTTGACGACTGGACCAAATGATACGGATCGCCGGATACTCTTCGCCGCCGAAGACCGCTTCTTCGATGGCGTGCCCAGCGTGCCCAACGACGGAGCGCGCCTGGCGGTGTTGGCAGGATCAATCAACATGAACCTGGCCTGAGGCGTGTTCAGGGTCGAGAGCGCCCGACCTTTCACCCTTTTCAACAGCTCCGGGTCTGATGTTGATTTGGGAAATGTTGATGCCAATGGCTTCGAGATGTTGTGCTGAGGCTGGCACTCTTTGCGAGACTTGACCTCTGTTGCGGGGATTGGAGCGTAGAGCTCCCGTCGAGGTTGAGGACCATTGCCATGAGAGACTGGCAGACCAAGCACTGACATGCTCCACTTCGCGGCCGAGGCAGCCTGCGACCTCGCATCGTGGACGGCTGCTGAAGGTCAGCACAATCTCCAACCAAGAGTGAGAAACGAGATAGCGTACAAGAGACAAACTTGTCGGTTGTAGAGTCTGAAGCCTCCAATGAACTCAATGGTGCTGCACCACGTATTTGTTGGCTCTGGGTGGAGAAACTGCTTGGGTTAAGGTCGCCATAAAGGGCTTCGCCAACCGGGTAATCCCAATGAACAGGATTTAATGGCCCTGGGTTGTGGCCGATTAGATTGGTGGTATCTTGAAGCATGAGGGATGGATGCGCTGCGCTGACTGAGGCCGACAGAACACCAGTGCGTGACGGATTCCGACGGATAGCGCAACCATGGGACCCTTCTATGGCACGCTGAACGGAATCTCCAGTCGAACGAAGCGGGTCTGACGGACTCGCCTCTATTTGGAAGACTGGCAGAGTCGTGGGCGCTGGAGTTGAAGACAAAGGCTGTTGAGGCGGATCTCTCACAGGTCTTGTAGGCCATTGCTGAGAAGATAGATCGTGGCCTGTTGGATAGACTGCTGAGGGAAAGCCATGTGCCGGCGTGGCACTCTCCCACATGCGTCGGTTCGGCCAGGCAATGGCAGCTTCCTCGAGCGTCTCTATTGCATTAGAAATGATTAGCCCGCAGTCCAGACAGCGAACTGAGTCACTAGGTGCTACCGACCGAGTGGAGCGTGGCAGAAAGAAAATGCGGCGATATTTTTGATGTGGTCCAAGGAAAGAGTCGTCGGGTCACGCTGGACTGCTTCCGTGACGATAACTTGGATGCGGCCAAGGGTTGCGGCAGGATTCCAGGAGTATTCTCGTAAATATTTCT